TTAGGTAATTAATGTTATTTTTATGCTTTTGTCGCGGCAATTGAAGCACATGTGTCGTATTTTCCTTCTTATGTGCACTACTTGTTCTCAATTAGATTTGCAATCATAAAATATTTCCTTAGTGTTTAGTGCTTAAGTTCTCGTTAATTTAATTCGAAACTTAACAAATCTGCTTTCAAAGTAGAAGATTTGTATGTCACCAGTTCGAATTTCTATATCTTCTGTTTTTTTCAGTTGATGTAACGGGTGGGCCAGAAATCATGACGCACTTTTGTTCTCTTTTCTTCCGAGTACAACCGGGGTTCAAAGATTGCATTCTAAACTCAGTCGATTGAGAATTTTTCTGCTCTACAAAATCCATCACCTTCTTTCATTACATATTATTTCATTATTTTAAAAAATAGTGCAGAGTACTGACAGGTAAAAGCATAATCGCGACCGAAGAAACAGGTTATAGTTATTTTTGTAGTTGGCCTAATTGATTTTTTGATAACGCTTCTGTTAGCTGTTCATCATAGGTACTTTGCGTAAAGAAGTCGTCTTCATTGAATTAATCCGCATAGAAAAATAAGATTTTTTCTAACATTTTACCACTAAGAACGGATGAGCCTGAAATTATGGTTATTCATGCATGTATTTTTATCTACATCCCGTATGGTTTCGATACTTCGTTCTGACTTCAGAAGATAGAAAATTTTCTGCTCTACAAAACGCTATAAACACTTTCACTACGTTTTTCGCCTAGTCCTTTTTCTACTTTTTTCAAAATCGCGTTATTCGAAAGTACAGATTAACTTCTGTGCTGAAAGTTTCCCAATTCGGGTGACCAAACGAATACGTAACGTAGTCTGGATGGTAGCGCTCAATCCGCTGAACATTTTTATACCACTTTCTCCTTTCAATTATTTCTCGAAAAGTTACAGAAAAACGAAGAGCCACCAAAATTTGTCTGTTCGAACCGTAGTTCTCGTGTATTCTTAGATTAGAGTTTTTATTCTTATCAATTTTAAGAAAATACTTGAATCTTGTAAGTTGTTTTGATATTAGTAGTTCTAGCAAAGCTGTAGAAACGAGTAAAGTTACTAAACATTCTCCTATGAAACTATGGTAAACCAGAAACAGTTCAGGAGGATTACTAAACTATACCTAAATTTATAATAGGTAATGATGCTTGCAATTGGAAATGTATGTTGAAATGTTTTGTATGTTAGGTCTATAGTTTTCTTCAATTTTAAAAGTCTTCTATAAGATTTTGAAAAAGTTCGAGACATTTGGGCAAGTTCCAGAGATCGATCGAACTCAGCTAAACAAACTTTCGTATGTTTTGTTAATTCATCTAGTTCTATACTTACTGTCTCACTGAATACTGTCTTTTTTAAACAACAAAATCAAATAACGTAAAATAATCACAGAAAAAAAACTGTGCAGACACACAAATAAGTTCGACGGGAAAAATATAATATACTCTTTTTTTAAAACAAACGAGTTTATTAATGTTTATTAATTTAAAAACGAGTAATATTAATGGACACCATTCAAGTTCACTGTAAACTTTACGTTTATATCTGCTTTTTAACTTTTGTAAATTAGAAGTAAAGCAAAAATATAACTAATTTACGTAGTAAGTACACGGCAGTTGCAGTGAGTAAGAGAATATGGATATTTAAATAATGGCTCTCAGGATGTAGCAAAGATCAGTTCGATCCTGTTTGACACACAGAGGATTGGGGCTAAGCCATTCCGCCTCATTCACAGGATATTAAATTGGTTCTAATAACGAATTGATCCTAGCGATAATATCTACGGGTATACATTCTCTGAAAGTCCAAGCGTGAATGTTTTCTTCACTTACGGCAAGCGTTACCTTATTGGTAACATTCACAGGCGAACCTCAACCGCTCTCATTTTTCTTTGAAGGCCATACGCCAGTTATATGTCAAACCCTAATTGAGAAGTACATGGTAGAACTTAGAGAAGTCTGAGATTGAAGCTGTTTTAAAAATAACAATCAAAATGTTTGTAAAAGTTCATAAAACTGTTAGTATAGTTACTATGACAATCAGAGAGCATGCTTACAAATAAAAATTGCTGTGTACTTATGTTAAACTCAATCTCGAAGCAAGTCTGACATGAATGCTTTACATTGGTTACATTATGTTCCCGAACGGAAAGTCGGGAAAAATATGATGAAATCAATATGTCAATTACCTTAACAAACACTTTATCTTAAGAGACCTTCGCGTATCAAAAGTAAAAAAAACAAACATAGCTTACGGTAACGTCGTCCTTATCTTCACCACAAAGAAGAAAACCAGTTTTCATCATGCTGCTGAAGAGAAAACCGGGTAAAGCATGATGAAAGTAAAAACAGTCATATTTCTACCATCGGAATCAGGCCTCGAGGACATTTTGAAGGAGCAGAGGAAAGGACCTTCTGAAATGGTGATACTATTGCGGAATTTTTCGAAATATAAAGTGTATGATTAACTGTTTTAGAAAAAATCCTTTTGATTCTTTCCCAAACTGAAAAAATTTTCGTGTAAAACCAAAATCAATATTTTCCTAAACCAAATGGGTTTAGGAAAAAACCCTTTTGATTTTCACCAAAGCTAGAAAATCCTTCGACTCTTTCTAAAGAACGCTTTTCAGTTTTTCTGTTGAAATAGAAAACTCCTTTTTGTTTTTAAATACGCCTTTTCGGTTTAGGAAAAATTTTCTAGTGAATGTTTGGTTATTAAATCCTTTTGGATTTTGCAAAGTAGATACTGAACCAATTTGGATTTAGAACTGTTGTTCTTAAACCCTTTCGGTTTTTCAAAATAAGCTTGTTTTCTTCTTTGTGCACAAAGAAGAAAACAAGCTTTCATCATGCTCCTGAAGAGAAAACCGAGTAAAGCATGATGAAAGTAAAAACAATCATATTTCTACCACCTGAATTAGATCTCGAGGACATTTTGAAGGAGTAGAGGAGAGGGCCTTCTGACTGATGCTAATATTGCTGCATGCTTCGAAATATGAGGTGTTTGATTAACTCTTTCAAAAAAACCTTTTGATTTTCAAACTCGAAAATCCTTCGCTACTTGAAAAACCAAAAACAGTATTTTCCTAAACCAAATTGAGTTAGGAAAAAACCCTTTGGTTTTTATTAAAGCTAGCAAACCCTTCGACTCTTTCTATAGAACGATTTTTAGTTTTTTTGGTCAAACAGAAAGTCCCTTTTTGTTTTTAAATACGCTTTTTTCGGTTTAGGAAAAATTTTCTGCTAAATGTTAGGTTATTAAACCCTTTGGGTTTTGTAAGGTAGATGCTAAACCATTTTGGGTTTAGTACTGTTGTTTCTAAATCCTTTCGGTTTTTCAAAATACGCTTTTTTTTAGAGAGTAATTCCTTTCCCACCTCTTTCGTCCTTTTGGGATCGTTCTGTCAATTTACTGGACGTTTTTCTCTACATTTTGTAGGCTCGAGATTTTCAAGTCGATATATTTTAAGTGACTTGTTGTGTCCGAAAAGTAATTGTATTGCCGGAAAGTCTTTTCTGGACCTGTGGATTTTCTCCCCCACACAGAATGTGCAAGTAATGAATTATTTGTTATCTATCTTTTCTTTTGTTTGTGGAAAAGATTTTATTTGCTAAAAACGATAACCTTATTTTGTCCTTATTTTGTCTTTAGGGCTTGGATGGTTTGATCTCCACGATCTAGGTCCTGCTTCTTCTGCTGTCGCTCACTCCATTGAGACGCAGAACACATATAAGAAACTTCAAAAAAAGAAATACCCCTTTTTTCGAGCGAGTTCCTTTTGAATTTATACACCGATTTTTGAGAGATATAGAAATACCCCTAAACGTAACCCAGAAAACCAAAAGAAAGTGTTCTAAGATACGGAAATTGGTTCTTATTAGTAACAAATGCAGATACCCTGTTTTTAGTTTTTTGGGATACCTTTTTTTTAGCGTGTGGTTAGAGTGACAGACTACTAATGTACCAGACATAGGTTCAATCCTTACATCTGATGTTATTACGTCCCAACGTCCCATTAAACGATTTAAACTAATTTCAAAAACGAGCGTCGAATGACTTGTCGAAACCCCGTGTCACTTGTTGCTGTTGAATCTTCTTCAAAAGCAACTGGACAAAGAGAAATTAGTGACACAGCAACACCGGAGATTTTGGACTTCTATAAAACTAAAGAAGATCGGTTGTAGTATCGTTTTTTTGATTCACCGGCTCTTCCGCAATCCGATATTTATCAGTCGACTGAAAAGTGTGCACTAGCATGATAGATTTAACCATGTTTTAGGCCAGTGTAACAGCTACATTCGCTTTTTTCTATACTGTCACTGATTCCCCGCCTATTCCCCGAATAGGACTCCGACTCTTCCAGTTCAGTATGTACATAAGAGGAGAAGTATCTAAAACAATGTGCATACTTCAAGAGGTTCACTCAAGACCCCACGTGCGAAATTTCTACAGAAAAAGCGGTCAGAGCGCTGTTTTCTTCAGCAGAAAATATGCCCTGAAACGGAGTTTTGGATCATATTAGTCGCTTTGAGCCGGAAACAATCACATCGAAAGCGATTCATCTGTCAAACCGTTTTCTTTTTCTAAACTCATCAGAGTCGCTTTTCTGCACAAGTTTTACCACATTATTGAAACGATAGGAACCGCAGTTCCAAAAGTATTTTCGAAGAGAAAAACTGCTTCGAACGGCGCCGAAACGAAGTTTTTTCTCAAGTGCATACAGAAACTCATGCCTAATCGATCTCTGACTTTATAGACGGTTTGTAGCTCGTTATGCTTGATTCCACCATGTTTTGCTGGGATTTTTCTTCGAGAACATGGTGCAATCAATTTTTAATGTTTTCTTCAACCAGACAATACTTCCGTCACGCCATAAATTTCTATCAAAGGAAAAGTCAATATGTTAACAGAGTCAGAGAAGTACACAGTAATTTCAACTAGCTGTTCTTCTCCTGTACATAAACACCTCCGAGTCCGTAGTCATAATGTTGAACTATCTAATTTTCGATAAGCTGTCGAGTTTTCTTTACAGAAACATTTCTTGCTCAGGTAAGCTAAATTCGACTTCGCTGTATTTCTCAATTCTGATTCGACATTTGATTGAAAATGATCTTAAATTAAAAGTGAGAAAGACTGATGTCTTGTAGTGCATTCACTTGTGAGTTTTACCGATAAGGTTACATTTGCCACATGGGAAGCATTGAGTATTCACGGTTGAACTTTCAGAGTATGTATACTCGAGAATATTATCGTTAGGATCAATTCTTTGCTAGAACCATTCTAGCATCCTGTAAATGAGGCGGAATAACTGAGCCTATTTTCGTGACATTTTCTGATGACATTTTCGATGTCACCAATGGCAAAGCGATCTTACACCAAGGTCACTTACATTTGTGAAGACACCAACCTTTGAAGTATTTCTCACTTTTGTGTATTTTTATTTCGAGACCTTACACAGTCATTGTATTTAACTGAATCCACACCAAAAGATATGCTAGATTTTATGCATTGTTTGAGAAAAATAATTCGGAAAGACAAAGAGGTCCCATACTATGATCCAAGAAGGATATAGTTCAACTCTGTGACTAAGGAGAAACTGGAAGGATTTCTCTTGATTCGCTCTCTCTCTCTCTCTCTCTCTCTCTCTCTCGGAAACTTCTGTGCACTTACTTTGTAAAATACTTCATTTTTGGAATAATTCCTTTGAAAAAAGAACAAAAACACACATGATCTGCAGAAAAAACGATGTTTCGTACTATGATGAAGATGAAGTCGTATGTATTTATAAAGAGAAAGGTTCTAGTCCATATATACAATGGTCATTCTTTCTTTTTTAAAAGTATTGTTATATAGACTACACGTGTGTATATATCAAAACTCCGTATGGACTAGACTGAGTTCATAGTCCAGTCCAGTCCATGTGGACTGGACTCAAAATTTTTGAATTTTATGGACTCGGGCTGGACTGGACTCAAACTTTCAAGACCATCGACTGAACTGGACTCGGAAAAATTTTGGATGGACTTGAATCGAGGAAAAATCGGTAAACGACAAGTTATTTTTGTTTTGTTAAAGACGATTCTAGAATACTAATAGAGAAGAAAAAGAAATAACAGAATAAAAGTAAATTCTAAAAATGGCTCGAAAAGAATTAGAGATACACCCAGAAGGATGGAATGCATCAGTCCAAGAACTAAAATAAAAATGAAATAACCCATATCTTTCATTCTCTAGTCCTTTTTACAATTTACTTTTATACTGTTATTTCTTTTCTTTGTCTGTTAGTATTATCTTTTACTTTCGTCAACCGACGTTTGAGCGCCCGACATTTGAGCGATCGACACTTGAGCGACCCTGACATTTGAGCGACCGACACTAGAGCGACCTTGACATTTGACGATCGCTCAAATGAGGGTGAGGGTGGTGAGGGGAAGCACTTGGTACTGAACTGTCGTTATTACTCAAATGTCGGTCGCTCAAGTGTCGGCGCTCAAATGTCGGTCGCTCAAACGTCGGTTAATCCTTTTACTTTAAACGCTGTCAGGCGGGCTATTTCATATGTTCGCTTATATGTACAAGTTTCGTGTATAAATAACATCTCTCTTTATAGCTCCCTGTACATTTTTCTAATGATGAATTAGACTGTTCGAAAGCTTAAAAACGAAGATGAAAAGTAAATATTAAAAATACACTATATAAAAGGTGGCTCAGAAGTCCTGTCTAATTTAATATTTTCTCAATATTTTGGTCAAGTTTGCTCGCCAGGTCTCAATCCTTTCTTTTAAAAGAAAACTCATGCAATTCTCTACACAACACACATTAAACATTTCTTTATATAATATAAGAATAAAAAAATATAGAGGAAAGACGGAAAAGTTTCAATATCGATTACTTTCTAAAACGCAACCAAAAAATATTTATTTTGAACACGGTGCGATGCATCAAAGTAGAATCGAAACGTATTTTCTGGTGCTCCGGAATATCAGCTTTCTTTTCTAGTATCAAAAATTCGCTACAAACCCTTTTTCTTGTCACAAACAAACGTTTTACTAAAAGTTAAAAAAAAGGGAAAATTTTGATTTCTTCGTATTGGCACAGGAAACGAAACGGGTTATTCGACTTTCTCCGTTCGGATGTAACAGAAAAACCATTTTGCTTCAACATAAACCAGATCTAAAGTCATAATATGTGATTTGGACCAAATCACACAAATTTGCCTAAGTGTCTCAAAACTGCGGTTAGAAAATTGTGGTGATGATTTTGGGCAAAATCGCTAAAAGAAAAAGCCCTCCTGCAATCCCCTGACCCTATGAAGAGTCTTAAATATAGCCAGTTGATAGAGCTTTTCGAGAACTACAAAACTGGCATTTTCTCTTTTTCATATCGCAAAATATAAGGAACTTAGAATGAGGTTTCTTTTAAAAAAGATTGAGATATGTCGATCTTGACCTAGATATTGAGAAAATACTGAACGAGACAGGACTTCTGAGCCACCCTTTATATAATTTTTAATACTTATTTTTTATTAGAAGATACACGATCTACGTGGTTTTTACCTAAGTTCTGCTTCTCTCGTTGGTTAAGAAAAAAGCGCCAATAAGAGAACCAGAACTTAGGATCGTGTTGACGTCAAAGAAAAAGTTAGAACAGAATTGCACGGAACCTGCTGTCCGGTTCAATCACGAAAATTTGCATATACCACCTTACTTTCATCAAATTACGTTCAGCGCGGCAAAAGCACCTAATTCTCTAATGTTTTCCAAAGTCCATTGGACTATTTACTCAATCTGTTGGCCTCGGATTGGACTGGACTGGACTCAAAAATTTGAGTCCATACAGAGCTCTGGTATATATACATATCTATTCAACTATTTCTATACATCATGTTTGAAAAAAACAAGCGGATCACGGGTCTAAAATTCGGTAACTCATGAAGGACAGAACAAAGGACTGTCCTGCTGATTTCTTTGTTCTTTCGCCCATGAATCACTAAATTTGAGATCTCAGCGAATAGAAAATGTCAGAAATTTTGAAGTCTGCCTTTTCCCCATTTATTAATGGTGACATCAGTTTTATACATTTGATCTTATCAACTATAATCTATTTACTGTTGCTATGCACGGAAAAAAATATCACGTTTTATTCATCTATTTTTCTTTTTTAACTAATGTACATAACGTACAAACTTACGTAATCATGTTGACTTTGATTAAGGGAAATTTTGCTTCATTCTACACAATACTTTTATGTATTGAACAATGCTGCTCAAAGAGTTTAGAAATAACTTTTTTATCACAGGACTTTTTAATCGTGGAAGTTGGAAATTGTTACCTGCAGGTATGGTACTAATTCCAAAGATTCTTGACGATCTACAAATTAAGCACAAACATCATAATAGTATCATACATTTTATTCACTACTTACATGAGTATTCCTGTGTTAGCTTCTCTATTGTCTTTTTGCAATTGCAATATAATTTTCTCTGCAGCTTTTTGTAAAGTAGCTTGTTTCGACCCTAACAGAGATTCTATATGTATTATAAACATTTGATCATTTTTCAATATGTTGGCCACTTTTTGATTGAATGTTAGTATGCACAATATTTCTATTGTATGCTGTTGAACTTCGATAATATTCAATTTTTTTTCAGTCGTAATTTGAACTAACATTTGAATAGCCGTTGTTTGTTTGATGAGTTCATTTCTGATTTTATTATGGCGAACAAAACCTGTGAATGATAGACAACATCGATTTCTTCTTAAGGTTCGGACAAGTAGAAAAAAGGACATACTTTTTAAGCTTATTAATGTATTTTGTACCAACACTATACGAGATATATCTTCAATATTTTTCTTAATTAAACCAATAAAAACTTTTATAATTTTTTTTGAATTTTCTAACTTTTCAATATCTTGTTCATCTATTATGAGAGACAGAAGATGATAAGCGTTCACCGAAACATAATCATCATTCTCATCGATTAATTTCAAAATTGTTGATGCCAATTTTTTTTCTTTAATAACCGTCAAAAGAGTTGGTTCAAATGTTAGACTAAACAGATAAACAATTGAATAGCTCAATAGTATGACACCAGTATCATCACGCAATACATGTACTGAATTAACTGAATTTAAAATGACATTAATATAATCAATGAGTTGAATATGTTGATTTCTATCGCGTTGTAAATACTTTGATAAAGCTAATTTTTGTAACATTGAGACCATACATTTCATAACTAAGACGATTGCTTTATTCCATTTTGAAATTAATTTAGTAAATATGCTTAATATATTCGTAAAATAGATTAAAACATAATTACACAGTCTAAGACAGATGTTTTCTTGATCTTTACCAAAACAATAAACAACATAGCCTGGACATATCAGTAGTACAAACTCTTCTCGTATGGTTAATTGTGTGGAATCCGGTTGAACACGCTTAAACGTTTCTACATAATGAGTAGAACAAAGAAAATTTACAATTGAATCTAATAAATCTAATAATAGTGGATCATCTCGGAGTTCTAGCCGTTTGTATTGAAGAATATGTAATGCAGTAATTATTTTGTTAAGACAAATTAAATTTGCACTATCTAAATGTTTATCATTTGTCGTTATAGAGTTGATACATTGTATGATTGATTCAATCAATGATTTGTTCACAAATATAGTTTTGAAATGGTTGATATTTGTATCATTTACATTTATAGTTAACCAAACAAATAAGACACTTATACCTTGAAATACAGCTACTTCTTGGTCGTTTAGCTTGTTACTGGTGTTCCATTTCTGAAATAGAATGACTAGCGTATTACGGAGTATAATAAACAAATGATGATTTAGTATAGATGCATCACTATATTTTGCATAATCACCAACTGTTGTTAACACAGTAACGACATCTTTTATACTACGAATAGGCAAATTATCTTTAGTGTTATGAAATTCTTGTACAATATGATCAAATAACTGCTGTAATTCGTTTGCGGAAATATTCTTTTCTTGTTGTTGGATTTTAAAACGACAAGTTGCAATTAATTCAGAAGACATAACGAATATAGAATATCAGATATACCAGCGTCGTGTAAAGTAGTTGGAATATAATGTTTGCAAAAAAAAAGAAGTGAGTGTAAAAATATTTAAATAGCAGAAAGAAATTTTAAAAAATTGACTGTTCACTTTCTCATGACAGAACGAAGAATGTAAATAACTCAAATATACGATTTTTATTAGTTTTTCACAATGATTTTTTTCTATTTCTGCCGTCTGACACATAAGATTTGAATGAGTTTTATCGAATTTTACTTAGTTTTTTAGTTTTATTCCATCCAGAAACCACTACACTGTTGATTCCCATTTGAAAAAATATTCTTTGTTTTAATCCTCTACCTTTACCTGCTGACTGATGTAGACTTGTATTATCAGTTTAAACCTAAATTTGTTATTTCACTTCAAATGTGCAGCACGTCATTTGCGCACATATGCAAGATGAAAACTCGCTGTAAATAATAGGCGTCTAGCAAATAAGAAGATCTTTTTTCTCGCACATGTAAGATATTCGTAGACAAATGTGTCAAATGTTTGTCTTTCTGTTCTTTTGCCTCTCATTTAACAGGCTAAAAAAAAATTCTTTTTCATATCAAATGTGTAACAATGTCCACGCATAATATATGTTCTGTGAAGAAAGACATCTCTTTATTTGCTATTGATGCCTAATAATAACAAGCAAACATGTGGTTTAGATCCATTTCACATCTTTCAAGAGTGAAGAACAAAACATATTTGAGTTTCACTTATGTCAGTTAAAATGAAAATATCCAAACGAAGAAAACATGAACATTATGCTTGCTAAAAGAATTCACCAGTGTCTGAAGATCATGTGCGCCTTCATTATGTGTCGACTGACGATTCGTTGAATCAGTGGCATCTTGAAGTTATAATAAGTGCGGTCGTGTTCGTCGGACAATTCGATTCCATAGTGCTTCTTCTGGTTTAGATATGAGGTAAATTGCTTTTTTTGAATAAAATTCTCAAACAATTCTACATTTTAGCCAATCATCTGAAAGTCTCACTAGAAACTTTTTCTATACCATTGCTCTGAATATTTTAGCACTAACAAGGTTAGGCTTAAGCTGATAAAACATATATGCATTCATTATTCAGTAGGTTGAGGTAGGGGATTAGAATGAGAAACCGATGGATATGGGCATGCGTTTGGAAATGACGTAGGCCAGAGCTGGAACCGGTTGAGAAACGGTAAACCGATCTCGTCCTGCCGGTAAACTGGCCGGTTGGAATTATAACTTAAACCGGTAAAATACCGGTGAAAAACGGACGAAGTTTTTTGAAAGTCGATTTTCAGAAACAATTTCCCTCTGAAATGAAAAAGTTTGCGAGCACATGTAAGAGAATCTTCACAATAACGAGTCTATAATATTTAACCTTAAAACAAGTGGTAAAAATAATATCTGTCTTGAATATCGTCTTATTTATCCTGACTGAAAAAGACGTGAAATTTTAGTTTTTTGACGAAAAACAGAATAAAAAGAGCAGATGTTTCAATCAGTGAAATATCGGTCTCTATCGGCCCGATTGACTTTTTCAACCGGATCGATTCCAGCTCTGACGTAGGCACAGATATTAAAAGTGATCAAATAATTGAAGATTTTTATTTGGAGATTTAGTAAAAAATAAATTTTTAGCTAACATCAGCGATCTCAACTAGTGAAATTATCATTTTTTCTTTTCTCAACTTTTTCACACGTATATAAATTGAGAAAAATTCAAATATAGCCGAAAGTTTTACTTTTCTGTGATCGCCATAAATTAACTTTGTTTGATTAAAAGAATCTCTCTATATATATGTTATTTCTAGTAAGTTGTTATTTGTAATAATAAAGTACATTGTATTTATTGAACATGGAAAAAAATGGCAATTTTACCAGCAGTTATTAGACTCATAATATTAGTAAAAATATACTGAACTCTTTAACCATTACTGTTAAACAGCGTGGCCAAATGTCACGGAATTTTATTTTTTCGTCTTCTGCGCTCTTTATCTTCAAAAAGAAGGAACATTTATCGATAAAACTTATATCAATGATAGATATTAACGGATTCTACTACTAAAAAAATGTGAACTTGATTGAGTAGATTGGTCAAGTGGATCAAAAGTAATAGTCAAAACAGAGGGCATCATAGAATTTCAAAAATGGAATTTTTCTTCTGGGTATTCCAGGTGAAGTGTAAATTACTCAGCCTTAGATTGATTTTGAAACGATCGCCTGGTTACCAAATTAAAGCTCACAGTATGGGCTACTATAATCACTACAGGAGTTATCGTAACTCTAAGGATCAAAAGTACGTGTCCGTGCGGCCCAGATTTCTCCTACAATTCTAATAATACAGATTTCGGGTTGGTGTCAAAATGTACCCAAGACTTGTCGCTACAACTTAACAGAGTCGGATTTTTTAAAAGGTTGTTTGTTGACTCTTTCCGATAGTTTCTTTTGTAGAAGTCGGAAAATTAGGGCTAAGTTTTCGAAAACCGTTTTTCGCCTCAATAAATGGAATCGAGAATAAAAAATTCGGCTTTATTAAATTGTAGCGGGAAGTCATGACTACATTTTGATACAACCTCAAATCTGTATCATTAGAATTGTAGGAGACAGGCAAAAATGAAAGAACTTATTTCGAGAAAAATC